TTTGAGGTGTCAGTCCCACGGCTGGAGAAGTTCAGTTCCATAGTTCAGGAACTATCTGACTATGGAACTGAACTTCTCCAGGCCGAGGGACTGACAACCTCAAATTCTACGACTTTAAGGGTGATGGACTGATTACATCGTCTTCACATCTCTACTGCTCCTGCCTACTTTCTGTATTCGACTGAAGAAGCCTACTGTGTAGGCGAAACGTTTCGGAATAAAGATGTCTAACTGTTGCATATGTGTCTTACCTAACAAAGGTGGAAACGTTGGGCATGCTTCCCTATACCTGCTACCCATGTTCACCAAGCAAAAAGTAGGTATCTGGGTGTTAGTCGACTGTTGTGGGTCGCATTTCAGGGGGTGGTAATATACCTCAGATAAGGCTGGGCTTCAAAAATGAGGCTTTGAAAAATGTACTTTTATCAAGATTGAAGGACTGAAGACAGACTCCAGGCTGAGGGACTGACTGCCTCAAACTCCCGATCTTCTACCATTCTTCTCTGTGGAGATAAATGGTAAAAAATACCGACATGATGGAAAAATAAACACAAATGCAGCATAATGCGATCCTTTATTGACCACATTTCGCCTCACTGTGTGGGCGAAACGTAGTCAATAAAGGATCGTACAAGAATGGTATACAATACCGACAAGATGAAAAGTGAGACATGTGCAACATCTGGGTATCTTTATTGTAGACGTTTCGCCATCCAGTGACTATCAATACAGATTCTAGGATGTAACTAGAACACAGTAAAACTAGGGGGAGCAGACGAGGGCAAAGTCACTGTAGGGCGGGATTCTCCTCCACCCACAAATACTCCCTCCACCGACGATGCCTGTGAACAACTAACTGCCAAGGCCGCGGGTTGGTAGCTGATTAGCCTCATCTTTTGTATATAGTTTCTACTACTGACTTCCTATTATGTCCTAGAATCTGTAAGGATAATGCACTGGATGGCGAAACGTCTACTATACAAATAAAATATCCTAGATGTTTGCATATGTATTCTTAACGTTCACAGTATAACTATATACAAGAAGATGAGGTAATCTTCATCCCTCAGTCTTCGGTGTTCTTCAACACCAACTCCAAGGCTGAGGGACTGATTACCGCATCCTTGTGTAGATAGTTTCACTGTCTTCAAATTATGTCCTAGAATCTGTATTGATATAGCCACTGGATGACGAAAACGTCTAGACAATAAAGATACCCAGATGTTGTTTAGGTAAGACACATATGCAACAGTTATGGTATCTTTATTTCGAAACGTTTTTTTTTTCGCCTACACAGTAGGCTTCTTCAGTCGAGTACAGAAAAGTTGATAGAAGCAGAAGATACTTGAAGACGATGTAATCAGTCCATCACCCTTAAAGTTTTGAGGTGGTCAGTCCCTCAGTCTGGAGAAGAGCATTGTTCCGTTGTCTGAAACAATATGAAGTTGAAGTGACAGGATGGAGCCTTTATATAGTGCCAGGAGGTGAGACGTAGGTTGCTTTGGGAGGGCAGGTCCCTCTCAAACCCAGCCATTCTCACTAGTAGAGGTCGAAGTTGATGGTCTGTACCAAGATACCCTTGTGTTGCAGTGTCTGACAGAATGAACATTAAAATGGTATAAAATACCGACAGATTGTTAGGTAAGACACATATGCAACAGTTAGGTATCTTTATTTCGAAACGTTTCGCCTACACAGTAGGCTTCTTCAGTCGAGTACAGAAAAGTTGATAGAAGCAGAAGATACTTGAAGACGATGTAATCAGTCCATCACCCTTAAAGTTTTGAGGTGGTCAGTCCCTCAGTCTGGAGAAGAGCATTGTTCCGTTGTCTGAAACAATATGAAGTTGAAGTGACAGGATGGAGCCTTTATATAGTGCCAGGAGGTGAGACGTAGGTTGCTTTGGGAGGGCAGGTCCCTCTCAAATAAAGATACCTAACTGTTGCATATGTGTCTTACCTAACAATCTGTCGGTATTTTATACCATTTTAATGTTCATTCTGTCAGACACTGCAACACAAGGGTATCTTGGTACAGACCATCAACTTCGACCTCTACTAGTGAGAACGGCTGGGTTTGAGAGGGACCTGCCCTCCCAAAGCAACCTACGTCTCACCTCCTGGCACTATATAAAGGCTCCATCCTGTCACTTCAACTTCATATTGTTTCAGACAACGGAACAATGCTCTTCTCCAGACTGAGGGACTGACCACCTCAAAACTTTAAGGGTGATGGACTGATTACATCGTCTTCAAGTATCTTCTGCTTCTATCAACTTTTCTGTACTCGACTGAAGAAGCCTACTGTGTAGGCGAAACGTTTCGAAATAAAGATACCTAACTGTTGCATATGTGTCTTACCTAACAATCTGTCGGTATTTTATACCATTTTAATGTTCATTCTGTCAGACACTGCAACACAAGGGTATCTTGGTACAGACCTGAAATCAACTTCGACAACCTCTACTAGTGAGAACGGCTGGATTTGAGAGGGACCTGACCTCCCATTATTATTATTATAATCAAGGGGGAAGCGCTAAACCCAGAGGATTATACAGCGCCTGGGGGGGGGGATGTGGAAGGCATTCAGGCTTAATTCGGGGAACTGGAGCACAGATCCAATTCCCTAAATCAAGAGCCCCTCACCAACATCAAGGAACCTTCCTTGAGGGGACCTGACCTCCCAACATCTGCGTTCTTACCTCGACTAGTGACCTACGTCTCACCTGGCGCTATATAAGGCTCCATCCTGTCACTTCAACTCCATATTGTTTCAGACTACGGAGCAATGCTCTTCTCCAGACTGAGGGACTGACCACCTCAAAACTTTAAGGGTGATGGACTGATTACATAGTCTTCAAGTCTCTTCTGCTTCTATCAACTTTTCTGTACTCGACTGAAGAAGCCTACTGTGTAGGCGAAACGTTTCGAAATAAAGATACCTAACTGTTGCATATGTGTCTTACCTAACATTTTTTATTCTTTATTCTTTTCTTTTCCTCCTTTACTTATGTTAATTTGATGTTTAACATATGTTTAGCTCTGATACTTATAGATGAAATTCTTTGATTCTGTACAATGCATGATGATGGAGTAAGTTTACCCCGAAATTAATCGTGAATGATGTTGCAAGAAGCAGTGCTGGTTTTCATCTTCCTTTTAAGACTAGATTTTCCAAGACTCATGTGAATGTATGTATGTATGTATGTATGTATGTATGTATGTATGTATGTATGTATGTATGTATGTATGTATGTGTGTGTGTGTGTGTGTGTGTAGTTACACCACATCAACAAGTTTGCTTCCAACGCACGCATTTAGACAGTAGATAGCAAACTTCCGCATGTTGAGCGGCTGGGAAAAGTGCAGCTCGGAGGTTCCACCTATGTGGATACTATAATAACTTCAAGGACTCTACTGGAGAGCTCACTGGTATTCGGCTCGACTCAGTCCCAAGGACCCTAGTGCAGCATACATCTCGCGAGTAGAGACATGATCAAGTCTCCTTACACCTGTTGCCTCCCCTGTTCACCTAGCAGGCAATGCCTAGGAGTCAGAGCAAGACACGTGCAACACTTTGGTATCTTTCATAACTAGAAGTTTCGCCTTCTCTGTCTTCTTCAGTCGAAATACAGAGGAGACAATATTAGTCGTAGAGATGTAGATCTGAGGTCATCAGTCCCTCAACCTGGAGAACAGGCTGAGGGATTGATCACCTCTGATCCACATCACTTCTGATGAAATTAAGACACATGTGCAACATCTGGGTATCTTTATTGTAAACGTTTCGCCATCCAGTGGCTTTATCAATACAAATTCCAGGACATAATTTGAAGACAGAACTATATACAGAAGATGAGGTAATCAGTCCCTCAGCCTTCGAGTTGGTGCAAAGAGCACCGTAGCTCCATCCTGTCACTTCTTCTCCATATTGTTTCATACTATGGAACAATGCTCTTCTCCAGACTGAGGGACTGACCACCTCAAAACTTTAAGGGTGATGGACTGATTACATCGTCTTCAAGTATCTTCTGCTTCTATCAACTTTTCTGTACTTGACTGAAGAAGCCTACTGTGTAGGCGAAACGTTTCACAATAAAGATACCTAACTGTTGCATATGTGTCTTACCTAACAACCTGTCGGTATTTTATACCATTTTAATGTTCAATCTGTCAGACACTGCAACACAAGGGTATCTTGGTACAGACCTGCAATCAACTTCGACAACTTCCACCAGTGAGAGAGGCTGGATTTGAGAGGGACCTGCCTTCTCAACATCTGAGTTCTTACCTCTCCTAGTGGCCTACGTCTCACCTCTTGGCGCTATAAAAAGCTCCATCCTGTCACTTCTTCTCCATATTGTTTCATACTATGGAACAATGCTCTTCTCCAGACTGAGGGACTGACCACCTCAAAACTTTAAGGGTGATGGACTGATTACATCGTCTTCAAGTATCTTCTGCTTCTATCAACTTTTCTGTACTTGACTGGAGAAGCCTACTGTGTAGGCGAAACGTTTCACAATAGATACCTAACTGTTGCATATGTGTCTTACCTAACAACCTGTCGGTATTTTATACCATTTTAATGTTCAATCTGTCAGACACTGCAACACAAGGGTATCTTGGTACAGACCTGCAATCAACTTCGACAACTTCCACCAGTGAGAGAGGCTGGATTTGAGAGGGACCTGCCTTCTCAACATCTGAGTTCTTACCTCTCCTAGTGGCCTACGTCTCACCTCTTGGCGCTATAAAAAGCTCCATCCTGTCACTTCTTCTCCATATTGTTTCATACTATGGAACAATGCTCTTCTCCAGACTGAGGGACTGACCACCTCAAAACTTTAAGGGTGATGGACTGATTACATCGTCTCCAAGTATCTTCTGCTTCTATCAACTTTTCTGTACTTGACTGAAGAAGCCTACTGTGTAGGCGAAACGTTTCACAATAAAGATACCTAACTGTTGCATATGTGTCTTACCTAACAGCACCGTAGTCGTGGATGTTCTGGAGCAGAGGCAAGGAGCCTGGCGCTTATATACTAACGTCATCACTTCTGCCGTTTCCTTTGCACTGCGACTGAAGAAGCCTACTGAGAAGGCGAAAAGTATCAATAAAGATACCAAACTGTTAGGCTAAGTTTAGGTTAGGTTAAGTTCGGTTTGGTAAGGTCAGTTTAGGCTAGATCACGTTAGGTTTGCCAAGACTGTCTCCAACTACAAATATTTTGGTCCGGTTCCAGACCAGGCCCGAGGCTTAGTCTGGAACCGAACCGCGGGGATGGGGGGGGGGTGACCCCGGAAGAGATTACATTTAACTTACAGGAAACAGGCAATCATTTCCAACCCAACCTTACAGTATTTGCCTCACTAACCCTACCTGAACCCACTTAAACATCTTTTGTTTTCCACGTGTAGTATAAACCTAGTTTTCCACATGTAACAAACCTAGTTTTCCACGTAAAATAAACCTAACTTTCAACGTTGAATAAACCTAGTGAACATGGCGTCTAAACCTATTAACTCTAAAGATCTCTCTAAATATTTTGCCCTAGCTTCACCCACTGAGCTACCAGGTAAGAGGAAGACTGCTCCACCCCAATCCATTTAATACAGTGGACGCAGGTGTAGTCCAACCCTACCCTACCCTTACAACTGATCTATGAAGCCGATAAACACACGCCTACCACCAAGGCAGCTCGATCTACCTATCACATCCTGTGTGATGAATGGTTTGAAAAACCGACAAGTTGAAGATTGAGACACTTATGCAGCATATGGGAATCTTTATTCAGGAAACGTTTCGCCACACAGTGGCTTCATCAGTCCAATACAAAGAGGAAGGCGTAATACTCCTCCTCTCCTTACGCCTTCCTCTGATGAAGCCACTGTGTGGCGAAACGTTTCCTGAATAAAGATTCCCATTACTGCATAAGTGTCTCAATCTACCACATCCTATATACCTGGTTTCTTTGCTAACCTTGTTCTCACTTTCTCTAAATTCTCTTGTTTTATGGAACGCCTATTATTATTATTATTATTATTATTATTATTATTATTATTATTATCGAAAGGAAGCGTTAAAACTATAAAGCCTAAAACTGAGAAACAAACAAGGCTCTAAGTGAAGAAATGGTCTGGTGATACCGACAAGATGTGGAAAAACACACTTATGTACAGTTTAGGACATTTATTAAAGGAAACTAAGCCACTCGTGGCGAAACGTTTCCTTTAATGTCCTGAAAAGTACATAATTGATTTTTCCACAACAAGGCTGTAAGTTTTCCACCATACATTCAACTGTAGCCTTGAAGGACGAACTGCTCACAGACGACAAACGCAATAGAGTGTATATACATTTTTTTTCAATTTTGTACCAAAACTAACTTAGCACTTTACCTAACCTTCCTAAAATAAACGTTAATATAATTTGGCTTAATTTTATCCGCTATCTTAGGTCACCCTAAATTTAAATTAGCATTACATAAAGTCAATGAAATATACTAATTTCGTGATGCACTGACAGACTTTCATAATCTATGGAAAAAAAATCTAGACGAAAATTCAAGGGAAAATCCAATAGGAAAGAAATAAATGCAAAATATCCAACAGAAAAAAAAAACTTAACCTGAACTAACCAAATGGCTTATAGTCGGATTTTTCTGTGAATTGTTTTTCGATTGATTACTCGCTGGATATTTTTCCGTTTGCCGATTTTCTAGGAGTTACTGAAACAAGAGATTTGCATTCAGCTTTTATGACAAAACGACTGGTGCCTTATAAACCAATAAATAAATTTATTAAATACATAAACTATGGTTCGTACGTCAGTTTGCGTGCGGCCAGCAGTAACAGCCTGGTTGATCAGGCCATGATCCACCACGAGGTCTGGTCTCAGACCGAGCCACGGGGGCGCTGACCCCCGAAACCCTCTCCAGGTAAACTCCAGGTAATATATATCGTGCCGAATAGGTAAAAAAATTTCTTATACGTTTAAAGATATATTTTTTCATCTATCTTTATGTAAAAATTAATAATTTTGTACCAAAAGAACCTTAGAAAACTTACCTAACCTTATTATAACAAGCGCAATTTAATTTTTTCATTAAGTTCAGAATAATTTTTTGCGAAATTATTGTATACACAAATTTTAGCTTGCCTTATTCGGCAAGAAGAGCGTTGCTATTTAACCAAAATCACGAGTTTTACTTATTCGGCACGACTTATATACTGGGAGGTACCACGTTACTAGCGACCTGGACCTTCTTCTTACAGGCAAGGACTTGGTAGACATTACACAGCTGCGCATCGGTTTTAACTGCTTCTCGTTGGGCGATTCTATGTACCAGCAATCCTTTTGAATGACAATGGACTCAACCCTCAGTACGGTCTTGGATAACCTGTGCACAGAGCACCTGGAAGAGAAAATAAAATTACACAACCCCGATGGTGTCACGTGGCTGCATTACGTTGGCAACATCCCATCTATTGTGTCCAGACGACTCGGATACTGACCACATTTATTCTACTGAACACATTTATCACAATAAAAGCTTACAATATTTCATGTCATCTACCTGTCGGCTCGTTGCACCTTCACCTATCTTATGTGATTTTCTCTATCTTTCATTAATGGTTCAGTGGCGTGACCTAATTTTAGGAAGCTAGTTCAACTGATATTGCTCAAGAGTAAAATATATCAGATAAAGTTCTACAGATTCAACAAGAGAGCCCTCAAGCTGCAGGACTGAGCTACTAGATAGCAAGCTTGGCTGTTATTCATTAAGATTCAGCAGCCAATACTGATCTGCAGCTTACCCGCGTCACTCATTGGTTCCCTGGTCACGATCTGATTGACCCACATGGTATGGCACCAGATACCTTAATAACCAGATACTTTGTTAAACAACCAGATACCTTAATAACCAGATATTTTTCCAAACAACCAAATATAATAACTATTAAGATACGCGAACAGCCAACTAGATATCATGACAATTAACCAAATACTACAATAATCCACCAGATACCAAAATGACCAACCAGATCAAAAATACATACTAACCAAGCCACGCCGCATGATAATGTCAGAGCTGCAAATATCAGTCATACAAAAAGACAACCTTTATAGTCGACAGAAAGGATAAGGTTTACAAGTCTTCTAACCCATGAGCCAGCAATTTTCTCTTCAACTTGCTAGCACACACACACACAATATATATATATATATATATATATATATATTATATATATATATTATATATATATATATATATATATATATATATATATCGTGCCTGCCGAATATGTAAAACTGGTCAATTAGCAAGAACTCATTTAAAATTAAGTCCTTTCTAAAATTTTCTCTTATACGTTTAAAGATATATTTCTTTCATTAATGTTAATGCAAAAAATTTTAATTTTGCACCAAAAGAATCTTAGAAAACTTACCTAACCTTATTATAACAAGATTATTATTATAATAAAAAAGAAGCGCTAAGCCACAAGGACTATACAGCTATTATAACAAGAACAATTTATTTTAGCCTAACCCAACTAAATATATTTTAGATTTGTTTACAGAAATTTAATACTAAACAAACACAGTGAAATATATTTTTTTCGTTAGGTTTAGAATGATTTTGGCGAAATTATTGCATACACAAATTTTCACTTGTCCTATATGGCAAGATGAGCGTTGCTATTTAAGCCAAGATCGCACATTCTGCCTATTCGGCACGACACACATATATTATATATATATATATTATATATATATATATATATATATATATATATATATATATATAATATATATATATATATATATATATATATATATAAGCCAAAGTTTCGGTTCATACTAAATCATGGTCCAAGACAGACCGGAGCGTCGTCTAGTTGCAGCCTCAATTTGTGAGCTACTTGTAAATTTATATAAAAAGTTGAAAGGTGTTTCAACACAGAGTTTCTTAATTCTTACAGGTGATTCATGTATTCCTAGCATGAAAAAGTGTGTAGCAATACTATCCTCTTAGGGGATCAAACAGCTTTTACTTTTCTTTTCACGTCATTATTTTTATTATTATTATAATTAGGTATCCCCGAAAGGATACCTTTAAGTGGTTGCCCATTTTTTTTATCTTTCTTTCTCCAGAGTTTTCGTCTAAGACATGAGAACGCCTAGTCTGATCGGCTTCAAACTTTCAATGCTGGTGTACTGTAGCTAGGGTAAGATTCATGCAACTACTGGCATGTGCTGACGCCCTCTGGTCAGTTTTACATAGATCAATCCTAGAATTCGTTTCTGTGCAATAACTTGCGAAAGCCTCATCTGATAGGCACAAATAACCCATTACGATTGTGACCAGATATAAACATGATAATAGTTCATTACCACTGTAACCTGTTTAGCTATCAAAACTTTGCCGTCCAGTTCCTGGACCCATTATGTACCTCCGTAATCTTTTGACTACCGCCCACAGGATGAGCATGGGGTATATAATAGATATTAAACTAAAAAAAAAACTGATAGGCTTCAAATTTTCAACAACGGTGTATGCTACCTAGAAGGCTGGGATCGTCAATGGAATACGTAGGTGCTAATATCTCATTTAACAGTTATAATCTTTTTCTTCAAGAAATAAGAAGAGCATTGCCTTTTCTGAAAGGTTGCAATTTTTAAAGGCCGATGCTTCGGACACAGAGGTTGGTACCCAACAAATTTAGGTTCCTGTACACGCAAATCTGAGTTTTCTAACCTGTATTATTATAATAATCAAAACTAAGCGCTAAACCCCAACAATAACAGGAAAATGCATCTTATGACAAGCTTCAAACTTTAATATCATTACAATCACAACTAAGCGCTAAACCTACAAGGGTCGATATAAGCGATATATCTTTGTTGAGTTCCAAGAGTTTTCTACTCCCGGAGCCCGGCCATAGGCCAGGCTCATCTGGTAGGCCTTACGCAAAGAAAGAGGCGCACTGATTTA